GCCCATCAACACACCCCACCTGCAGTTGCCCCGCCAGCACCACCGCCCACCCTGCGCAGCCCCGTGTAGAGCAGGCCCGTGGCTCCCACAGCACAGGGGGCAGCCGGCCATCGCTGCTCCTCACACCCCCGCCCGCAGGAGCCCCACCGCCCCTGCCTCTTGCGCCCGCAGCCATTATTGCCCTAGCAGGGCCGAAGATCAAGAGAAAGTTACCGTGGCATCGCCACTCCGGTCTCCTCCAGGTATCTTCAGGACTAACTAGGAGATGGTGTAGTTGGTTAGCAGGAAGGGGTGCAAAGTTCCTGCCAATTCGCCTAAAGGAGGACAGTTGGTCACCTTATATATAATTAAAATTTGTTTGATCATATACTAGATAAGCATTTGTCAGGTGCTTCAGTGTGTCATACTCAGGGCTTTTTTTGTCACAGAATGCCCAGAACGGAGTTCCGGCACCTTTTTTGGATGGAACCTTGTAGGGTAGGCGAGGCGGGTTGTATGACGTGTGTGAGTTCTGGCACCTTTTTTTTTTGTTTTTTACAAAAAAAGCACTGGTCATACTGATAGTCCACAACTTATGTCCAGTTGCTTAGAGACTTTTTGAAGTTACCACAGACTCTCCCCCTCCCCCCCCAAAACAAAACATGTTTTGCCAGTTTCCAGCATTTGTTTCCATTTTTGGTAAAGACTGCCCATTGGATAAAGTGGATTTGCTCAATTACCATGGCATTTGCTTAATGACTGCTGTAAAAACATAAAATCCATTTTGGTTATGTGATGTCCCACTTAACGTTCACAATGACTTCGGACTATAAGTCCGGGCTCAATTATCGTCATAAGTTTCATAAGGACGACCTATACTTAGAATAGTAGCGTATATTGTTTCTGCTAATCTATCTTTGGAGGCCAACCAATAGCACTAAAACATTAAGTTTTGCTTCTCAGTTTTCAAAATGCTACTATTTTGTACCCTTGATCCAAGTCTAGGTTAGTGTATTTGCATATGCTACAATATATAAGTGAACAGTTACTCTTAAATCACAGGTTTGAGATCTAACCACAAATATGGATTTGCTGGTAATCTGATAAGCGCATGGTGGACAAAATTAACTTTATTGTTTTAATTAACATCTCAGCCCATCACTACATCTCACCAAAGTATTCTCAGGCAGAAACATTTACGTTGTGTTTCATTTGGCAATTTTGTGCCATTTGGTTCTTTTCAAGTTAAAAAAAAAATCCCAGAGATGCCTTTTGGAGGAATCATAAGATGTCTATAAGTGTTTTGTTGATTATCTTTGACTTACTTGACACTTCTAAAACTTTTAATGAAGTTGAGCTGCACATAACTTTTCCTAGCAGCTTTCTTTACATTCCTGTAGTCACTTAAAAGGAAGCATTTACCTGAATAGCCACTGATGAATTCTTTTAGTAGAGTTTTCCCCAATTTAATGTCTTCCAAAAGTATAGGCACAATTCTCAGAATGTCCAGCTGATATGCCCAATGCTGGGAATTCAGCATCTCTGGTAACAAGAAATTTGTGATTTTTGATGATCCCCAAGAAGCCATAGATCTATACAGGATGTACCAAAAGTTAAAACTTTTGGAATACTGCGTATAACATCAGATTTAGATAATACAACTGCACTGAGCAAAGGGCAGATCTTTCCAAAGAATCTTGGATTAATTAAACTGGCATTTTAGGATACAAAAGGAGCCATGAGAGCCAGTTTGGTATAGTGGTTAGTTTCACATTAAAACTTAGGAGACTGTGAGTTTTAGTTCTGCCTTAAGCACAAAGCCAGCTGGGTGTCCTTGGCCAGTCACTTCTCAGCCCTAGAAAGAAAGCAGTGGCAAACCATTTCTAAAAATCTTGCCAAGAGAACTGCAGAATGTATCCATCAGATGTCAAAACTGACTTAAGAACAGTTTTGGCACACATACAAACATTTGAAAAGGAGCCACAGGTTCATAAATCTGGAATATGCTTTGAGAACATTTATTTTTTCCCTCTTCATAATGACTGGAGTTATGTGGACTACAGTAAACTGGTGCCAGAAGGAGCTTCATAGCAGTTTCTTTCTTTAAAATAGAATTGGCCAGTTTAGGGAATTGTTGACTCTGCTTGCACTTTCCCCCATCAAGTTTCCTTTTATCATTTCTCCTAAATTTCAGCCTTCTCTCTCCCCAATAAAATCTTACTTTAGTAAGATTTTTCCTGTGTGCATGTAGTTCCTATATGTTGCTATACCACATTGCTTAGAGATAATGTAAGTAAGTATTAAAACAATTACCAAACTTTTTTTTCCATTTCCACCAAGGGAAAGAGTTTTCAACTGAGAAAGAGTGATATTTTTGATGGTGTTATTTTTCCACACATGAAACCACCTGCATTCTTGCGCTACAGGAAAAAATGTTTTTTTCAAACTGGCTATGCATAGTGCTGGCGACCTCTTAGTTCTCTCATAACTCATAGATATATGTTTATGGAATGTAACATAAATACAAGTTAGAACATATAAGTTGATGTGTTACTCTCAAGCGTATTACTAAATAATGAATCTCACTCCTAAAAATCTACCTGAAGCATTAACTGCCCTTGGAATAAAACAATGACCTCAAATAATAAAGTATTCCAGAATATTTGGAAACTGTTACAAAATGTGGCTGCATGGATACTAAATGGTGTCAGCTGCATGACATACTGTATGTGACACTACTACTCTGTGAGCTGCACTGGCTGTTGGTGTGTTTTAAAGTGCAATTCAAAGTGGTGATTGTTTCCTTTAAAACCCTACAACAGGAGTCTTCAAACTTGGCTCTTTTATGTCTTGTGGACTTCAACTCCCAGAATTCCTTAGCCAGGCATGTTGGCTGAGGAATTCTGGGAATTAAAGTCCACAAGTCATAAAAGGGCCAAGTTTGAAGACCCTTGCCCTACAAGGTTTAGGATTCGGTTACCTGAAGTTCTGTCTTTTTCTAAAAGACTCTTATTGGTCCAATCCAATCAGATTGGCCACACTGCAGATCCATCATCCAGACTGCTGACTTGTGAGAAGATGGGCTTTCTCTGCTGCAGCCCCTGCCTTATAGAATAGTCTCTCTTTGGAGATTAGAATGGTTCCAATCCTGTTGGCTTTTTGCAAAGTTTTAAAAACCTGATTATGTGCCCAAGCCTGGGGCTTGGAATACATGAAGGATCCCTTTTATTTGGCTTTACTATTAATCATCATTGCTACTGTTGTACTTATTTACCTTGAGCACGTTTTTATTATCGTAAATGTTTTTTAAATTGTGTTATAATTTCAGAACTGTAAGCCACCCAGAGTCATTTGGTTGAATTGAGCAGCTATGGATAAATAAATGCATAATATATCATGACCCTGGTCCCCCACAAAACAGGATGTAGAGCAGTGTTTCTCAACCTTGACAATTTTAAGGCATGTGGACTTCAACTTGAAGTCCACATGCCTTAAAATTGTCAAGGTTGAGAAACACTGATGTAGAGAAACTTAATTTTAGGCTAAACAGAACAAGTAAATTCCAAGACCATTATTAGAGTGGGTGTTACTTATTTAGGGGCTGCACACAGGGAAAAAGAATGGGGCACTGTATCCCATACCTTAGCCACCAATAGAATAAGAGATTAGGAAAGAATATGTTAATTTTAGTAAAGGTTTGTGTGCTCCCATTTGTTTTCAAATCAGCTGGGATTAATATTCAATTTAATAATGTGCTCTCATGATACACCATCCCACCATTTACCTACTGTTTTAACTAGTTGACTGCATTAAACAAATTAGGAGGGAGTGATGCATCCTGTTCAACACTATAAAAATTGACCAACCTAAGTCTGTACATCTCTTGGAGGCTCCCAATTTGCCCGTCACGTTTAAGTCTGGCTGGGGTCCCGTTGGAATACGGCCTCTCTCGCACTAGGAATCGTGCCTCGTTTCCCCAATTTTTGCTGTAACAATTTCCTGTAGCTCCTCCAGTACGATACACAGAAACCCCTGGATCAAGAGGATTCTTCGCCAACCAACAAGCTGCTTCCATAGACTTCTCCAAACCGAAGGAAGCCAGAGCAAGGCGACTTCTTCTCAACATTTCTCGCCCGTCTTTTTAAGGGATATAACCATGATGGTTGTATTATGATTATGACCATGATTTATCACTTGTTGCTTGTATGTACACTGAGAACCTCTGCAGCAGAAACAAATTCCTTGTGTGTCAAATCAGACTTGACCAATAAAGAATTCTAATTCTATTACGATGTAACTTAGTACTTATTGCACGCTTCTGGGACCTGAGAGATGGAGGAATGCTCGCGCGGCTCAGCCGGCTTGCATCTATTTCTTCTCCGCGATTAAACTATCTGAAGTGCGGTCTGTTCTAACCTCGGATGCCTGTAGAATTCCTGCAAAAAGGGGGGAAATGGAGCGGAAAGTCTTGCACTCCGTTGGAGCTCAGGCGGCGTCTTACAAGTCACAAAAGTCTTAGAATCACACGGCTGGAAGGGACCTCGGAGGTCTTCTAGTCCACCCTCCCCGCCCAAGGCAGGAATCCTTATACCAGCGCGGACAAACGAATGCCCATTTTTTTTTCTTGAAAACGAGAATTAAAATCTTTAGGAGCGGGAGAGGGATTCACTAAACCCTACAAACGCTCACATTTTCTTATCCTGGGAGCAAGGCCGACGGTACCAAGCGACTGCGCATGCGCTGCCCGGCAACCATCGCATGCTTTACCTCCCCCCCTTCTTCCAGCGTTTGCATTATCCAGACTTCTTCACTGCGTGCGCAGTTTCCATCAGCGGTCCAACACCGAGGTTTAAGAAAAAAGGGCGGGGGGGGTCGCGTGGAGTGCTAAACTTCACTCCTCTGACTGCGCATGCCCAGCAATCCTTGGTATTTAGTCCTGAGCAGGACTAAAACCAGCCGTGGCTCGCTCGGTGCTTCCCTCTCCACTTCATCTCTCTCTTTCCCTCCCTGTCTTCCGTGAGGTCAGCTGAGTCTCCGCCCAATGCAAGCCGGCCTCTGCTCTGGAGACCGCGAGGGCGGAGCTAAGAGAAACCCCAGAGCCGCACAGCGCTGGAGTTGAGGCGGCATCAGCTGAGGACTGAGCGACGGTCGTGGCAGGTAAACTTTTGGGATAGGCGGCGAGCCAGGCTGGAGCCGCAGCGGAACTATTAGCCCCTCCTCTGCCTTGTCCCGGCTGGTCGGCCGGCGCGGCTTGTCTTTCCTCCCGCTTCCCTTCTTTTACATCCCGACTTTTTTGCCCGCCTCTTTCCCGGCCGACGCGTTTCACCCGGTCTCTTTGCTGCTTGGTTCTTTTCTTGAGTTTCTTCGGATCTTTTCCTGGATGCTTCTCCCCCCTCGATATTTTTCTGGGAATTCTGGTTTGATGTTTTGACAGGTGGAGGTGGGGATGCCCCAAGAGTTTCAGGAGGTCTTCCCCCCCAAAAAAAGCTTCGAAAAAGTTTCTGTTTGGTTTTAGTCGCCGCACTCTTCAGAATAAGAAGAGACTTAAGTCTCTACTTATCCTGAAGAGACTGGGCAACCACTTGTCTGAAAAGATATAAGATCTCCTGCTTGAACGGGGTGTGGGGTGTGTGTGGACTAGAAGACCTCCAAGATCCCTTCCGGTTCTATTCTGATTCAAAGGATCCACTAGAAAGGGGCATTCACCTTCAAAAGCATTTGTAGCCAGCAAATTTTTTTTATACTGTAAGGTGTGGACGCATTTTATTTGTTGGCCCTCGAGGTGCGTTGGTTAAATACTGTAAAATAATGCCTTTTTATTCTCTGTCTTCAGTCTTCCCCAATGTGGTGCACTTCTGATATGTAGAGTATAATTCCTGTCTCTATTAATAAACGTTTTGGGTGGGAATGATGGAAGTTGTAGTTCAACATATATGGAAAATATCAGGTTCAAGGAAAATGACGCACATGGGTATATGAATCCAGTATATGATTATAGACGCTAAGGGTGTCAATTATTGAAAAATAATGACTCACCTTTAGCATTTAAATGGAGTATTTGTTCAGGGTAGGGAAGTGATTGGGCTGGGAGAGGCTGTAAAACTTTTTTTTTTTAACCCAGAGAAAAAGTTGAAATTCTTTGTTTTGAAAAACAATTTCCAATTTTTCCCTCAGTTGCTTCCTTGAAGTAATAAGGTAAGGGAGACATTTAAGATAGAAGAAGAATCTAATCCTCCCAACTAACTGGTATTTGTAATTGAGGTGGAGAGTTTTTTAAAAAAATGTTTTGTCATATGGCTGTGTCCAGGATTAGGTCCTTCTTAAGTTTAAACTCTTGCAAAATATTAAAAATAGTTTCAGCATGAAGAGCCAAATTATTTAAAGGTTATTTCTTCATCGGGATAGTACCTCGCCTATTTATTCCATAAACCAACATACCATTTGAGAACAAATTCAGAATGTGATGATTAGTGTGTAACTTGGGTTGCTGGTGTTAGAAGAAAAATCCTGAGTCTTGACCAGAGCAGAAAAAGAGAAAGGAAGAGGAAATGCTTTGGGATTTATTGCAGTCAGGGAAAAAGATAGACTTTCTTATCTTGTGTCAGTAGAGCACAAACTTTTTCAAGGTATTTAGAAATAGATGGGCTTGCGTTGAATGAATGGTGCTTCCCCCCCCCTTTGCTCACTGCACCTGCTTCATATAGTCTTATCTGCTGGAATTAAAAGGCAAGTGTCACATTTCTTTGAAGACTATGTTCTAAGATGTTATTGACAGAATAAACTAGGCAGTTTAGGGATGGCATGGCTCCACACACAGCAGCTTTCCATCTTGGGATGGGGAGTTACAGCTTGCCTGGTGTTTTTTGAACATCAGAAGAGATGACTTTGTCAGCTCTGTCACAGGAAGAAGGGTGGAATCCAACTGCAAATGGAATGTATGTTGTTGTTTAGGAAATTGTTCATCTGAATACCAGACTCACTTGAGCATATTCATTTCTAAGTTTGATCTGTTAAGATGAAAATATCCCATGCATGCATACATACATTTGCATACTTCTGTGTATGTTCTCTTTTGCGTATAGGAGATAAAATAGCTTGATTAGATATTTTGATGACCAATTAATTACTCCCCATCAAAGGAGTAATTTATAATATACTGAATATCACATCAAGAACTTTCTCCTTTGAAGGTTCTCATGAGTGGAGTGGAAATTCGATGCATGGGAAACTGCTTCAGAACAAAATGGGCTACCCGAGTGGTAGGCAACCTTGGCTCTTTTATAACTCGTGGGCTTCAACTCCCAGAGTTGAAGCCCACAACTCATAAAAGAGCCAAGGTTGCCTACCCCTTGACTACCCTGGCTCAAACTTGGTGTTGATATATCAAGACATAAACTTGGCTTTGGCATAGTGTATGATTCTGTGTGAATCCAGTCAGTTGTGATTTATTGTTGAAGAAGCAATACAATTAATAATTTAATATAATTAAATTTTAATTTCATGTGTTAACCACACCCTGCCTGCATAGCTGTTGATCGATAAGCCATTGTATTTTGAAGGTACTAGTTTGGGAAAGGCTGAAATATGAAGTCTTTACAGGACAATTGTAATTTGTTGTATAGCACACAGTTGACAAGGTGAGAACCAACTACAGTGGGAAATTCTGTAACTGTACTTTAAATTGCAAAGATAATTTTGGATTAATTGGATTAATGAAGAAAAATAACTGATAATTATTTTAAATTTGTAACTGTAGTATTTACAATAAAATTAACCAGGTAACTATTTGCAGTTGTTGGTATTAACAGCTTAGTCCAGTTTATATAATTCTGATTGCCAAAATTGATGGTATTTTTGTTTGTGCAGTTTTGATTGGCATATAGAAATTGGAAGTTGGAGCTTCTTAACATATCAGTAAAGTTCTTGTGTTTTCTGTGACCAGATAACTCTTCTTATGTTGATGTCTTTAAATTCCCTGACCCCCTTAAACAATTTTCTTACACCATCTTATTTAGTTTTGAATTAGGTAATTTAAAAATTATTTATACCAGTAAATAAAATGTGAGCATGAAATGTTGTCTTGGAGCTAAAGAGGTATGAAACCAGTTCTGTATCTCTCCAAGGTAACAGGACTGCTTTTTTCGAACATCTGTGGTCCACCTTTTCCCCATATTCCATGTGATGTCCTGAGGTAGCTTTCTCCAGTGTGATATCTTCCAGCTGTGTTGGATGATGATATATTAAATTTATATGCCATTCAACTTTGAATGTAGTGTTTGGAAATTCTGGAACTTCCATATGACTTCCAACTTATCTGGAAGGCATTTGATTGGGAAAGGCTGTTTTTTATATTTATAGAAATTGCAAATAACTTTCTTTTGCTGTTTTAGGTGTTTAGAGTAAAAGTCTTGTATTCTATATGTATGCACAAGAATCCCAAAAGGCTCTGAATGCAGGGCGGGAGTGATGTGTGCAAAAAGCACACCTGTTACTGTAAAAAACTTGCATGCACAATTCTCTCTAGAGATACAGGTCCCAGCAAGCAGGTCCCAGCGGTAAAATGACTGGGAATTGCTTTTCTCTTTTGGACAGAAGAAAATAAACAACCACCACCAAAATGTTGCATTAATAGATTTAGAAGATGAAATATTATTCAGTTTTTAAACCACAGCTTCAGCATCTCACGTCTAAATTTGCAATTCATACACCAGGAAAAAAACAAGGCCATTTCTGAAAAGTGAGATAATTTCTCACACAGCTCATGAAACCATTAAGTTGTAAAATGATCCGTGAACCTGATCTGAAATTCAGGAGAGTACAAAGGTTGACATCTGAATGAAGTCTTCTTGTGCTGCAAGTATAACACATTAACAGCCCTTTGAAAAGTGATACTTTGCTCTCCAATCTACTTTCTGGAACAAAAGATCTGCCAACAGCAGAATACTGTTATAAATTCTTGATGGCTATTTGAACATCTGGTGGATTTCTCTCTCTCTGTTTTGCAGAATTGCACCATTATTTTGATCACAATTCCTAAAATGGATTTTGAAAAAAATAGGAGTGTGTCTTTATTGGGAAGTTAAGCAGTGGAAACAATGGAAGGGATGATAAATGGTTTCAGTTGCTAATTTCTCTTTAGTTTATGATTAGGGAAGAATATTGTAAACCTATTTTAAGGCATGTATTTAGTGTTTTAAGACAAAGAGTTGCCGATTTAATATTCTTGATGTGTGAATCCTTTCACAACAGAACCTGTGAAGTGGCTTAGTTGTTAGACAGCTTATTGCATTCTATATTTTAGTTTGTTACATGAAAAACCACAAAACTCTCTTAAGTTGCTGAATATCCAAGAGGCCAAACCAGTAACAGTATAAAAGTTCAAAAACAACACAGTTGAAAAGTATTAGTGACCTTGTTTGATTTCTACAGTGAATAAATAATTCGGAAACACGTTTTGCTAAAAACTGAACCGTTAACTAACTTTCTCAGGAAAGTTATTTAAGTTTCTCTTTTTGTCTATACCTTGGAGGAAACTTTGTTCTATGCATATTGGCTGTAAAGTTTCACTGAACTTCAGGAAGGCAGTAATTTGGATCCATCCTTACTTGTACTTATCATAAAATACACCCAACAAGAATATGAAGGTTTTATATGTGCTAAGCCAGGGGCCTTCAAACTTGGCCCTTTTATGACTTGTGGACTTCAACTCCCAGAATTCCTCACCCAGTGTGGAGAGAGAGTTGGATTATTTTTAGTTTGTAGGATTGTGTAATCACAGCCATTGTAGCTTGTTAACGGTCGTTTATGACTTGGCATTTCTGATCTTTTTCAAATGTGCCTTAGTTAGCAAGTTATGGTTAAATAAAGTGGCTTAACCAGAAGTGTCACCATGTAAATTGTGCTTAACTCCGAGAGATACGCATTGGAGAGTCTTGCTACTAACAAATAAGGTGGGAAAAAAGCAGCAAAAAACTTAGACAGAATGTAAGCAGAAACTATTCCAATCTGTAAAAATAGAAGGACATATCTATGTACATCCATAACCCTAATCTGAAATTTGGGAACCAAGCAGAATCAAAATCACTAAGAGGAAGCTTTTGCTCAACAACCACAGTTGGGACCAGCAACTATGTTGCTAAGTGATACGGTTGTTCAAC